TTTTTGTTTTTAATTTATTTTCAAGATGTACAAGAGATGCCAGACAAACTTTGAACTAAAAGACACTGACTTTTGTAAAATAAAATAGTGTAATGTCAGTTCTCATGGTGTCTTGTCTATTTAAAAATTAAATTTGAGGCTTACCTGTTACTGTTAAATATTGGTATTGGGTTCCATTGACGAGGGCTATGTAGTACAATTATGTGCTTAAGTCAAGGTAAAAGGTTAAATGAATTTACCCTCATCTGTTCTCAAACCAAGAACGGAAGAATCCATCTCAACTCAGAATTAAAAGTTACGAATTAATTTTACTGCTTTCGAGAACAAAGCAGTTTTAACAAACTGACTTTAAGCTCCGGCGTTAACTCTGAGATTGGCACCTGGCCTGTCACTATAACCTGGTTAAAAATTATGTAAGAGATGATGGCTGTAAAGCTAGTTTTTATTTTTTATTTTTTTGGTTAAAAAAAAAAATAACGTCAAGATAATGAACACTGGTATTAAAATTATATTTTATACATAAGGCAATAACTGTCATTACCAAAGTAAAGAAAATGATTTGTTAGACTCAGTTTGTTGGTGAACGATGCTTAAAAAGTGTGTAGCAATTTGGACAGTCAATCCAGTGATTGCTTTGCTTTTTCTATGGTCACGGCTTACCTACTTTATTACAGTCATTTGGCTGTACGTGACAATATATTTAGCTAAAGTTCCTTCTGCTTGTTTAGGTTTATCCCTGTGTTATAGGTTCATTCAGCCCAACCTCAGGAAACTTGTCTGCTTGCCTACTGTCATCTCTACAAGCCTAAAAACAATTGTAAAAGAGGCTATACACATGACATTTTTTTTCTACTTAATTTACTCGTGTGTGCCATACAGAGGGAAATATCTCAATCAGAATCGCATTTATTGGAAAAGTATATGCGCAAACACATACAAGGAATTTGGTTCCATTTGAGGGCGTCTCTCAAGCACAAAAAAGTAAAACACAATCCATCTATGTGTATGGACATACATAAATACACACGCACACAGGTGTATAAACTAACAATATAATACACAATCTAATTCTTTTACACAGAAATTACAGGATTACAGAAGTT